TGCTATTTGTATGAATTATGTCATATGATTGACATAAAATTGGAAAACAATCAATATCTACTGTACTAATGTAACTGCAATAGTTATGTATGAATCTTTTATGATTTTTATGGTTTAACATTACAAAAGAATGATGTGATATTGCTAACAGTTATTTCTCAATTTTATATTTTAATTTCCTATCTTTGACAATGCTGTCCGTCATGCAATAATTCCTTGTAAAATATGAGAATGTAATTTCTGATTGACTCTGGAAATCCAAGTTTTAACATGAACAAGGGCTGTAGTTTTTATTATTTAGTGATATGATAAAAGCAGATTTATTTATAATTCAACTTTATATGCAGTATTATTCTCTAATAATTACTCAATAACCTATCAATGTCTCTTAGATATGCAAACTGGCAAAAATAACATGCCTTTAAAGCAAAATGCCTCAGTGTATGCTAACATTTATAAAAAATAAAGAAAATGAAACTACATGGTATTGATATATAAGTGAGCAAAATGATGTATTTTGAGCTAATCTGGCACTTATTATCTCCAAAAATATAAATTCTTGTGTCAAAACATAAAAATAAAATAGTTCTTACTTAAAAAATTCATTAACATTTTTATAAACATTGGATAAACCTGGCAATGGGATGCATTTAGGAAAAAAACATGAACTTTATATATCTAAATTTAAATTCAAACCTAATCAGTTTATTAATGACAGAAAGTGAACAAATTGACCTTTGAACTCACACTTACAATTTCCCTGTTGGAACAAAAAATGATTAACCTTGACAACCAATAAAATGTCAGGCCAGCCTGCACATCTGTACAGTCTGACCATGATCTATACACTGTACTTTGACAGTCATGACATGCCTAAAATTGATAAATGGACAGTTCCAATAATGGAAGCTGGACCAGTCAGTTTAAAGGCACATTATGCCTCAGAAATGAATAATTTATCCTTCTTTAGAAAAAGCAATCGTGAGTTTTATATAATGTTTAAATAATTGTTTGAGAGCATGTAAGATGCTTGTTACCTGAAGAAAAAAGCACTGAATGTGAAATTATTTGTTATAAAAGTAGCAAAATGTAAACAAAGTAGTATTTTGACTTCCATACAAAATAGTAAAACACTATAATGATTTTCCAATGAAAAGAAGCAAACTATGATTCAGGAAATTGACAAATGAGTAACCTTTTTGGGAAACTATAAACTGAACACCAAACATAGAAGTTTTTCAGAAATTAAAATAAAAGCATAAAAGATTTCTGGGGCATAATGAGCCTTTAAGAAATTCAGCTGGTTCAACTTAAAGGCTGACACAAAATTCATAGAGATACAGATCACAGTTAGAAGTTTGTTAAGATTTATGGCCCCTGCAATGCAGGTTAAAACAACATGTATCTAAAATTGATCACAAGAAAACAATGTAAACATATTTTACAACAACTTTTAAAATGTTTGATATTTACAAGGAAAAGGTCCATAGTTTATATTTGACAATAAGATATCATGTATTCATTTACACATGTGTCTCATTTTAAAATTTAAAAAAAAAATCCTAAAAAAAACCACAAGAATGTTTAAAGTAAAAACTACAAGTTCCTCCAGATGAGTTATTATCAATCTGATTAAAATCAGCTCCTAAATTAAATGCTACATGTAAGAAATAAGTAGATCTGAACATTAGTCAGATTGAGTTATTATAGTTCAACTTAAAAAAAAATCAAGTTAAGGAAAAATGAAGAAATAATTGATTTTTTGTTTGGTTTGGTTTGGTTTAAAACACACCTGGTGAACATAATTAAGGTCATATGGTTCTGAAACAGGAAAGATAATTTTGGCTAACCTTGGTTGTAATAAACTTAAAGCAACACCAGGTGTCAAAACCACCTTTAACTTGCTGGAGCTAAATGATGCATAGACACAAGTAATTCGAACCCATTTACTCACCTCTTACAATTACGCAGGGATAAAATTAATGGTGGCTGCAATTCTGATGCCTCAACCCTTAAAGGCTACACCTCAGCCACAAGGAGGGGAAATAAATGAGGGTTAAGATTGTATGTTATAGGGATTTGTAACATTTTGCATGTTTAAATAAATCAAGAATTTTTATTACTAATTTCTTTCTTTCATATTCCTGACAGAAAATATACTTTTTGTGTATATTTTGACTTTTTATCATAACTTTTCATTGGAAATAAATAAATTCTCTGAACAAAATGACAGAAGTTTCATTATAAGAACCAGTTTCTAAATTTTTATATAAAAATCACCAATATTTTGCAGGTGAGTTGCTTTAAGCAATTTCTGTAGAATGTTTAAGAAACAGAATTGCTGAAAAGTTAAATTATATATCAACTCATACCATTCAAAACTATCATTTTAAAAATTAAAATGTTCTTTAATTTTTCTTATTTATTTACCATATGTAAAAATGGGCCTTTTGAAAATTTTATTTGCTGTCAATATTTAAAAGCACCTAAGTCTGCATTTATATTATTTATAATTTGTAAATAATTTGCAATTGTGAAATGCATTGCAAATCTTTTATACACCTTTCCACTTTTTTTTGGCTATGTAAATATATTATATAATGCATAAGTAAATAATAAGCAAAATACATGATGACAACAATATATTGAATTCAACAGTCGTCAATAAAATGACAGTGACTTTAAAAATAAAATTATAGGCTGTATAATCTTCAATATAAACACAATAAGTATCCACTGAGCAGGGTTAAATACAATAATTTCAATCAACAACATTTCAAAGCCTTGCGATCCATGCATTCAAAACTTTCACATTTTGTTCTACCATTGAAATTTAAGTAAATCAATTTGAAACTACACATTAAAATTGTAATCTGAGTGAGATAAGAAATCTATTATCCAGCCTGACGTGCAGTTTAAATCGTAACATTCTCTTAATCCAGGTGTTCAAATGCAAATATACAAGGTGAAAACTTTAAATTGAACCTTTAAATCTAATCTTAAATACTTTAATCACTGCTTTTGAAGGCGATCACAAAACACATTTCAGTTTTAAATAATTACCGTACAACGACATTGTACATTAAGTACTGTAAAATCATTTGATACGGTTTGAATAGAATTTAATGGTTGAAAATGAGGCTTAACTTTTTAACTTAACAACTCTGCAGATGTCAAAATGCCTTAGATAAGTTGAAAAATAAATATCTTTTAACAAAATAAAAGCTATATATCTACACTGTACAACACAGTCAATAGCGATTTTATCATGTCATACACTTGCAATTAACATTATACCCCTTGTTTGAACCTTAAAGGAGCATGTCAAGTGTCTTTTGTGAATCTTTATAGAAAATTTAAAAAAAATGTTTTAAGTATTCAAATTATTGTCAAGTGTACAAATAATTTTAGCCAGTCTGTGATATTGCCATTTAAAAACAAAAGATATATAAATTGGTAAAATACAGATAAGCAATTATAGCACTCAATCCACCAGTGAAAAGGGGAAAAATGGGAAAAATATATTTACAAAAATTTTCAGTCAAATTTTACAAAAAAAAACAACAACAAAAAACAAAAAAACATAAGTGTATCCTGCATTTTCTTTTTTATTTTTCGTTTCTTTTTGTGATATTCATTACTTACTTAAACACTTCCATAATTTATCTCAAGATTGATTTGATGAGAATTTGTCTATTAATGACAGGGTTGGTAGCTTTTTCAAAACTTGTTGTTTACTTATATACATAAATATATTGTGTTATTTACAGGGCTCTAAGACCGATCACCAAGGACCACCATCATCAAGACAGTCTCTTTGGGGTAAGTACATGTACATGTACAAGAAAACAGGAATAATGTCACACTAAATGCTGACACAATGCAGAAAATACTCACTAAATGATTATGGAGTTTAAGTTATTAAATAGAATAACTCACTATAATACCTCATAACAGAGAACTCAGGTTGTCAAGAGATGCTGATTTCACTGGATACTAGTAACTAATGGTCTAGGAATGAATATTTACAATGATGTTAAAAGTCTATTATCTACATAATGCAAAATTTTAGCAGCATTTCAACATCATTTAGTGGCATGGTATCAAAGCAGTCCAATTAAAGTAGAGGAATCTGGGACTGTTCATCAAAGCAATGTTTCTTCTTTTATAGGCACACTATGCCTAAAAACAAATACATTTTCATTTCTTTAGAAAGGACACACACAAATCAATAATGTTTAAATAATGCTTTAAGAGCATGTTAGATTCTAATATCACCAGTAGATTTTTTTACATAAAAAAAAAAAAAAAAAAAAAACTTTTGCAAAATAAAAATAAAAGAATATCTGAGGCACAATGGGCCTTTAAATAAAAGATAAGAAAATTTCATGAAAAATTTCAGCAACTAAATTTTGTAACAATTTTATATTTGAGAGATTTTATTTTCAGAACTCATTCCAGTCAAAGTCCTTCTTCATAGTTCACCCAGAATGGATTAGTGAGACCGTAGACAACACAGACCCCGAGCCCCTTCACCGTCCCCCATGGCCCTGGGAGCAGCCCAGATACCGTCAGAATATCCAAATCCCTATAACATACAAGGTCGACGAAACAGAAGAAGAGAAAAATAAAACAGAAAACGAAGGAAAAGCCGAAGATAATTCAGATATGCCAATGGTTATGGACGCACCAATGTGTTTACCTATTGGTTACACTTTTACACATCCCGGAATAGACTTGACCAAACCTTATGAAAAACAGACTCAATTTGGAGCCCCGTTAGTAGATACATCAGTGTATAAACTTAGTTACTAGAATACAGTTATCTTTCCTTAGTCAATTAAAAAACTTGAATTATCATATATAAATAAATATACATGTAGAGAAAAGAAATGATAGTTATTAGTTTAAACAACACTATAACATTACGTTCACTGCCAGTATAAGTTTGTAGAATGTAGATTTAAGACAATCATCCATTATACAAAAAGCAGAGAACTAAATGTTACATAAAAACAAAAACATGAAAGTATATGAAATACATGTATTCCATCTAAACTCTCTTTCAGAAAAAGGAATTAAATGTTATAAAATGATAAGCAGATATAAAAAATCTGTATTTAGTCATTATAGTCTGGTCATTTTGACTTAAAACTTCAAAAAATTTATGTCCTCATCAAATTTACTTTCTTTTCATACTATTACAATAACTTGATGATGAGGAATGTTAGTTTATACAAATTTATTTTAGTTTGATTGTGTTGGAAGCTATAAGCTTATTTTAACACTCTCGAATCCATTCCTGGAACCAACCAGTACTAAAAAATGCGTATAAAGTCTTATACAAGGCGTTTTAGTAAAATTTAAAAATAAAATAATAATAAACAGATGTATAAATTGTAAAAAAAAAAGATATGAAAATACTGGTGTAAGAATTAAATAGTTCATCAGCAGCAACAGAATGGTAGAATAATTAGACAAGAAAACAAAAAATTGAAATTAGAAATTCTTCAATAATTTTTACTCAAAAAAATAATTCCAATTTATAAGAAAAGAACTGTTTGAGCACGAGGTCTTTCAAATTTGTTTAAATATTCATGTTTAAAACAACTTTGATATTTTAATTTATTAACACAGTCATTTTAATATATTTCAATGGAATGTTTTGCTATTGAAATATATAGTCTTGTTTGGCCATATTGAATTAAATGCTACATTAACCAATTTTACCACCCCTGAAGAAATCAACTTTTGTTTAAAAAAACAAAAAATGACTAATTAGTTAATTAGAAGTTTAAATAGAAAATGGGTCATACCATTCAACATGTTCAATTAACCTTTCCTTTTAAAAAAGAATTTTTTCCCATTTGTTTTTTTTTTCTTTTAACTTGTTATATAGATTATTGTTAGATAAATTCTGAATGAGACAGTAAATACTCAGATCTGGCTAATAAACATACCTGGTATATAACAATATATAATATAGTAAATATAAACAAAACTTTTAAATTAAAATGGCCTTTAGGATGTTGTTTTTCTTCTCTTAACTAATTTATATATATATATGCAATTGATAAGTTGTTATTGTAGTTGTTGTTTTTCCATATTATATCTATTTGTAATTATTTTTACCAGTTTCTCACGAGTTTCATTGTTTCCATACGTTTCATTTTTTAAAAAAAATCCATTTTCATCTTAAAATATGTGATGAAAATACAATGAAAATATGGCATCATTTTAAAAAGATGCCAAAAAAAAAGTTAAAAAAAAAAAATCGAAAATTGTTATTTGATATGTTATAAGTTTCATTGTGTGCCCCCGACATTTCCCCCGGATTCCGTAATGTGTTTAGTGTGAAGTATATACATGTATATTACTTATATGATGTTAATTAATGTCACTTTACCGAAACAGTATTAGATATTGTACAAATGGACTGATTTTTGTGTGATGTTTGCTAAGTGTGTTCTTCAACTATATAAAAAAACAACATTGTTTACAATAAAATGTTAAAAGTTTTATTATGAATCTTTGTTTTTTTTATTTTTACAATCTTATAATAGCAAGTTTCTGTAAGTGTACACATCTTATTTGTGCAATCTTAACTATATTGGTGGGTAACAAAACTTTAAATTTCCATCATGGTGGTCGGGGGAATATTCTCCAAAATCAATAGTGGTCTTTTCCAATGGAACCGGACAAGTCCATTTACGAAACTCAGAATCATTAAGTTAATAGTAAATTACTACAATTTTTTTTTTCAACAGCAGAGAAAAGAGGAAAATAACACTAGAGAATGAAAAACCAAAACAAAACAAAAACTTAATTATAACTTTGCTGCATAATTTTTCATTAAAAATGGGGCCACTCGGTGTCTGGTGGTTAAGATAGTTGGCTTCAAACCACTTTACAACTGTAGGTTGAATCCCGCCATGGACTTTAAATTCTTTAATATGAGAAAGTTATCCAGCAAGAAAGATGTTAGAAGGTATTCCTCAACCAATAAAGCTGGAGGGTCACCATATGAATTTTACAGAGTCAGTGTGTCTTTAAACCGCACAAACAATCATTAAATTAATGGCAACATGACAAACTAAATAATTCAGTATATTACAAAATAAGTTGAGGTTTCATTGAAATTTGTACACATTCATTGACAAATTCTTTTATTCCAGTAAAGGGGAACAATTGACTTAAAATAAAAATGCCCAAGTTCAATTGCAAAATAAAAATGCCCAAGTTCAATTGCAAATGTCAATCAACTTGTAATTGATTAATACCTCCAGACAATATCTGCCTAATTTTGTTTTATTACAAATAGAAAATTCAATTTTGGTTTTCTTTCCTTTGCAATACTAAAATGACACATTATCTATAGACCAGTACAGAAGAAACTGCAATATTAAAAGAAAAGTAACCAAATGTTAGTTTATGTCAGCTTAAAAGCAACTTTTTACCCTAAACCTGTTGAATCCTTTGCCACCAGTATTGAGCCAAGTCAGCATTGGATTGTAAACTGGGCGACTAAAGTTTGATTCCCGGACAGTGCAGGGCACTTTTGTTATGACTGATTACGAAATCCTATCTACAGTCATTCACAATGTACATCTGCTCTGGCATGTTCAGAATTATTCAGTTCCTTGTGAAAGGGAAGGCAACTAGTACTGGTAAACTGCTTGACGGTCTGCATAGGAACAATGTGGTGGCTGAACTGTGCTGTATGGTTATCAATTCAAAGTACATGTAGCTAACTGCCATAATCCAGAGGGTAAACTAACAAGCTGACCAACTTTAAATATTCATCTTGATATCCTGGAAAATGATATTGGGCAGTACCAAAACTATGATAGCTGGACAGGTCCAGTAAGAAATTCAGCAAGTCAAGGGTTCAAGTTTTCCATTAACAACCTGCTGGCAGGTACTTGTTACTGACCAAAGACTCCAATCTGGTAGTCCTCAGTCTATTAATCTCTTAAATAATTTAACACGCTTTCAAACTATTAAATCAAACCACTTATTTTTTAATTACTACTAATATCTTACAAACATATTTTCAAGTATTAGTATTTTTTATAGATATTTTCATGACTCAATTTCAAGTTTCATGGCTGCTCGTAATTTGGCTGATCGACTACGGGGATTTGCTTCTACCTCAGAATCCGTCGCCATAGTAACCTTTTTATTAATCCGCTTCCACTTGCGTATAACCATTGAATCTAACTCAGATTTTGAATCTGCTAATCTACTCATCAGACGATGTTTTTGAACCAAAGACATGTTAATTTTTTGGTCTATATCCACCGTATTAAAATGTCTTTTAACAATTCTGTCCTCTAAAGAGTGGAAGGAAATAGCTACACATATCCCGCCTGGCTTTAGAAACTTATGCACCACTTCTATACCATTATTTAGTTCATTCATTTCATTGTTGACAAAGATACGGAGAGCTTGGAAAATCTTCGTGGCTGGATGACTGTACCTCCCGAGACTGTCATGTCCGAATGCTCTGTAATATATAACATGGCTATTGTTTTATAAAGTGACATCTCAACAAACATACATGTACATGCATGTGTATTTGCATTCTAACATGCTAAGAATTAAAAGAAGGAAAATGAAAGGATGAAATGTTTAAGATAATTGGTAATATTAATTATCAATATCATTTTGATAATTGCTAATATTAATCATCAGTGTTATTTTGATAATTTCTCATTTTGGTTTAAAGTCACAATAAACTGTACAAGTCCGGTTATACATATGTATGTTTTTTTAAGCATATACATAAAGCAAATTTTTTAAACATTCCTGGTGGAAGAAGATTTTGCATTACTTTAGGTTTGACCAGGCACCTAAGTAGAAACACTGACATTCAATAAGCTAGCTTGATATCTTCTATATCTTGATAACATAGTCCCTGTCAGGATATGACCCAACTACTGTTAGGAACACGTGATTCAATGTCGGGAAATGTCTGTTTGTTTTGTTGGATTTTAAGTAACATCAACAACGTACAGATCATATGGCATCTTTCCAGCTTTACTGATGGGGGAACACCTTGGGTACCTCTTCATGGGTTATTTTAGGCACAAGTGGGCACCTGAGTAAAACCACTGACCTTCTATAAGCTAGTTCAGGGTTCCCACAAAGAAGAGAAATCAAAATTCCCTGACTTTTCCATGACTTTTCCCTGACCAAAGCCATTTTTCCCTGACCAATAACAGCGTCAAGTTTGCACAATCTTAGAGCATTTAATGTATTTTTATACACGTATTTCGACCTCCTCCTCCTCAAACAGGCTGAAACAGCCAACCTATTTTCTCCATTTCTTTATTTTCAATTATTCAAGATAAAACATACAAAAATATTAGCCAGCGATTGTCATAAGCTACTTGTCTTGTTTACTTTCAACAAGTATGAGTACATTTATCCAAAATGTAAAGTATTTGATAATACATGTCATGCTAAAAGATGTTTCATTCTCTTTAAAATACAAAGCAGTGTTATCAATGGAGGATTGACTAAAACAGACCTGCATTTAAATAAAATACATGATAATAATCAATAGAAACTTGTGTTAAACAAGAAACAATAAGACAGGTAATGAAGTGGCTACATAAAAAGCAAAATACAGTAATACTAATAAAACTAGCCATGGCAGTTAGTATCTCAAAGTTATGGTTTAATGCATGTGTGTAAAATAAAAACATGGCACTAAAATGATTGGTACATAATCAAAGTCCACTAAGTGTTTTCTCAAGTTTCTCAATTGATATCTTTACTGGATTCTTTATTACTTTTCTTTGACCTTGACCCTGAAGGCATTGCACTTGGCATTTGACTTCACAAGCAAGTCAATTTTTATCTTTTTTCAGCCTCCTGAGCAGATTAACAGCCTCTTTCACAAGAACAAACCATAAACAGCTCAAGAGGCAAGGGATGCTTAAACTCCTTTTAGCTTCTTTCTTAAAAAGATAGTTACTGTTAATGACAAAATCTTCAGGGAGAATCATAATCATTTTTAAGAGAAAAAGAATATAAAAAAAACAGACACTCATAATAAAAAATAACAATCAAGATACCCAAAATAATAGAAGAAACTGCCTTAGCTTTTACTGATTTTGCTTCTTGTTGTTTGACAAACATTATTTTCTACACAATTCCCTGACTTTTCCCTGACTTTGGCTTATTTTTCAAATTTCCCTGACCAATTTCAAAATTCCCTGACTTTTCCCTGACCTTGAAAAAAAATCATTTTTCCCTGACTTTTCCCTGACCGTGGGAACCCTGTAGTTGGATGGTTTCATCACAAACAAAAATCCAAAGCCCTTGATGGGGTTTGACCCCAAAGTGGTGAGGGGCAAATGATTTGAAGTTGCTTGCCATGGAAGTCCCCCAAGTCAGGAAGTAA